CAAGAAGTCTTTCTGGGTTGTTTCATACTAATTTTTGTTTCCCATTTCCTCTTTCCTTCCTTCCTTCCTTCCTTCCTTCCTTCCTTCCTCCCTTCCTTCCTTTTTCAAATTTCTAATCCATTTCTATCTTCTCCTGGCACCTAATGGAATCTTCTGCTTTTTAGCTCGAATACTGTGATTTGAAGCGTTACTTCCCTCTTCACCCACAGACTGGTTGTTCCCTCTCTCCTTCCTTCCCCCCATGTCCCTAGGACCCACTCTAGGTCTCTGATTTAGAATGTAGATTAGTTCGGAATTCATCTTGGGGAATAACTGGGGGAGCAGAATGAGAAGGTGGATTTGATCTGTGCGTGTGTTCACTCTTCAGCCTTTTATTAAGCCAAGATGTATAGAACCTCTCCTCACACCAGCCCCTGCTGAGTCCGGAGCACTGGAGAGGAGCTGAGCACAGCATGGGGGAAGGGCTGCATATACAGGGAGCGAGAGCCCCGGGGTGCCAGGCCCTAGGCAGGGTACTGGGGACCTAGGGGTGGCGGGTGCCCGCCTCTGGTCCCGGCAGAGCCTGTGTGAAGCCACCTCTCACCCACCCACTCACTACCTCTCATTCCCTGAATTAAGTGTTTTCTCTGGGAGGGCAGGTGTGACGTCTGTTCTGGGCACCCTGACGAAGCTGGAGAGGGCAGGGAGTGGGCCTGGCTGTGAGGATGGATCCGGATCGGGGAGCCTGTGCTAATCACGGCTCTGTGAACCTGCCCTGGGCTGAGCCCGCTTCTCCAAGCCCCTGAAGCTCTGCGGAGGGACATTAGGAAAGAGGCCAGTCCAGAGGCCAGGCAGGACAGACGTGGCCTGTCAGCCGGCCGGGAGACCGCCAGCCACTCCCGGGTCCATTTGGGGGCCCTCCTCTTGGGTTCTGCCCACCCGTTTATCCTGCCCTCTGCCAGCAAGGACGCACCAGGAGCCGGGTCACCAGCCTCCTACCCCTGAATCTTGATTTCTGGGCTCTCTCTGTCCATGCTTTCTCCAGGTTGAATTCTGTGCGGAGGCTTTCAGGTGAGGTTGCGTTACGTGAGGAGCACTTGTCCAGGCATCTGGGTAGATTGACAGGGCTTCCTGGAGGAAGTGGCAGGTGGGACAGGGGGCAGGGAAGTGTGCCTCCTTTGCAGCAGCCTTCTTCAGAGGCTTGGTTGGGGTCATCAGACTGGGACCAACGGTATTCTCCGTAGGATGGAAGGACAGCTCCTGCACAAGTCGTGGTGAGGGTTCGAGACCAAATTTGTGGCCTGATACCGCCCAGTGCTCGCTGAGCATTAGTTGATCTCCTCCTTAACCTCATCTTTGTTCTTTAGTGCTCACAGGCCCCGTGACCGGTGGGGGCGGGGCACAAAGGGAAGCTCTGGAGGCATTTATGGGGAGAGATAGGTGGGACATGGAAGAGGAAACACGGCCCTGGGGACTGGCCACTGTGGGCTTGAATCCTAACCCCACCTGTGGCTTGCTGTGCCACCATGAGGAAGTCGCTTTACCTCTCTGAGCCCACATCACGGAGAGGAGGAACTGCTAACCTTGGGGTGGCTTGTGGAAAGCACCAGGCATGGGGTGAGTACGTCCTGGTGAATACTCCACCAAGCGGGGAGGTCCAGGGGCGCAGAGCACGCTGCAGTAGGCCCAGTGAGAGTGCTGGAGTCAGGTGCAAAGGCGGGGGGGGGGGGGGTGTCAGGACGAAGGATGGGAGACTGAACGTTCTGGGGGGCAGATCTGTGCACACCCACAGGGAAGGCAGAATTTCCTAGGGAAGATGTGGGAGCCCCTGGTACCTCTCAGGCAGGCCCTGATGATGGGCAGGGTGAGGACTCGACCCTCCTGGTCCTGGGGAGGGAGGCAGTTGGGAAGGAGGACAATGGATCTGTCAGCCTGGGGGAGAGAGGGGGCGGGCGGAGAGGCCATTGCAAAGGCTGTTGCAAATTCGTGTTTCCTGATAAAGAGCTGGGTTGAGTCACGGGTGAGAATCCCCTCAGCTCCTGTGTGCTGTGCTGCGCGTGACATTGAATTTCCCAGTCCCTGGCGGCACTGCCATTGGCTGCTTCTCCTGGAGGCTTCTGAGGCTGGCTCAGCTGCAGGGAAACCCCCCCCCCCCCCCCCCCCCAGCGAGGAAGCTGAGTGGCTGGAGGTGCCCTTGTGGTTCCTTGGGGGGAGTGCGTCCCTCTCCCATCTCTCAGTTTCCCCTCTGGGCATCGAGGGAGAGGCCTCAGTGACTGGCAAAGCTGGAGCAGGGTCTGGGGCTGCCCCATCTCCTCGGCAGCTCCCCTGTCCGGGAGCCCTTCCCTTCCTTCTCTGATTTATCCTCCTGGCAGTGGGCTGGGGCTCAGTCAGGCTGCGCTCACCAGGACATGGGTGTGGATGGAGAACTCCCCGGGGGACAGAGACTGTGGCATTTCCTCCTCTCGGCCGGGAAGATGTGGGGCAGAGGCTGGCCAGGCCATTACTCAGGCCCAGTTCATCGTCCTGGCCACCGGTTGTGCAGTGGTCAGCCTTTGGCTCCCGCCCAAGCCCACTAAGCGGGGGTGTCTACCCGTCTTGCTTTCTATCACCAAGACTCCCGGCAGCCACCACGCGCTGCCTCCAGCCATCCTGTGTCCGTCTCTGCCTCCCTGCCCTGCCCTGAGCATTCCGATTGACGTCATTGTGTGAAGAAGTGTTTCCTTGCATTTTTTTTCTCCCTGTCCTAACCTTCAAACCTGGCTTCCTTTCCCCTGTCCCACCTTCCGCCTTTGGATTCCTCACATCCTCAGCCTGTGTGCCACACCGCTGAGAGATGGGGGTAGGAGAAAGGGTTTATCCCCTCCCCAGCACCTAGAGCTCAGGTCTCCTGCTGGTCTTTTCACCCTGCTACTCTTTCATGCCTCCCCAGTTCTTTGTGCCTTAGTGAAAATGAGCCCAGGGCTTCTAAGAGGAAGCGGGAAGGGAGAGCGTGTGTTGTTCTCGGCAGCTGACTCCCAAGGGAGAGGGTACCCCTGGGGGGGATTCTTGGGAGATGAAGCAACCCTGGACTCCGCAGACCATGCCCGAAGAACTGAAGCCTCCAGAGGCAGCAGCTTGAAGGCAGAGAGATGGAGAGATGAAATAGCCTCGAGGCTGCATTTTTGTTGGTTTGGTTTGGTTTGGTTTGGTTTGCGGGCCATATCCGCCAGTGTGAAGGGCTTACTCCCGGCTCTGCACTCAGGGATCACTCCTGGTGGGGTTGCAATGGGATTGAGGGGGGGTGGCCTCTGCCACTCTAGGGATAGAGCCCAGGCTGCCTGCCTGTCAGGGTACGCTGTATTATCTTTCCAGCCCCGACTGTGAATTTTGAATCCCAGCTCTTTTCACTTGCCAGTGGCATGACCCGGGTGAGGTCTCTGAGCTCACATGTTATCTGCAAACTGAGAAGACTCACGGTTCTTATCTTTCTGGAGTTGTCAGGAGGATGGAATGAGATGGAATGAGGATGGAGTTGGATGCTTGTGGCTCACCTGGGGTGGGGCATAGTGGAGGATGGCGATGAGTTCTTCTCAGGGCTTCTTGGACCCTCCCCATCCAGGGGGTCCTGGTCTCCAGGCCCCAGAGAGCTCTCCTTGGGTCTGCCTTTCCCTTTCTCTTTTCCAGTCCAATGGTCAGGGCTCCTAACCCAGTGCTCAAGGAGTTCTTTCAAGGGTCCGCACCCCCAGGGGCCTCTGCAGAGGCTTGAAGAAGGGATGTGATGACTTTCACAGGTGTGAGCCTTAGCCAGGCAGTTTGGGGGTTCAGTGAGGTGCGTGTCCGCTGTGACCCTTGTCTCTCTGACACCAGGGACAATGTGAGAGTGAGCTGACTGGTGGCAGTTCCCTATTCCGGGGAACTGCGAATAGCACAGCCTTCCCTGGTACCCACAACAAGAAATTCTGGGGTGCCTAGAGCTAGCCCAGCCCCCGTTCTCTCGGCCTTGTTTGTGCAGGGTAGCAAAGCCCTCTGGATTGCTGGCTGGGGCTGGGCCAATCCTCCTGCCAAATTCCTTTCCCATGGAGTCACTGAGGGCTGTGGTGGGGGGAACGGGAGCCGCAGGATCCTGGCCACCACTTCTTGTGACCCTTTCCCTCCTTCTGTGCCAGCTTCTTTCCCGGGTCCTTCACGCTCCACACTGGAGCCTGTTCTAAACCCATAGCCCGGAGAGCCAGCCTAGGACAGAACTGAGTTAGAGGAGGGAAGAGAAAATGGATCATTGATTTTTGTTTGTAGGTTTGGTTTGGGGGCCACATCTGCCAGTGCCCGGGGGGCTTAGTCCTGGCTCTGTGCTCAGGGAGCACTCCTGCTGGACTCAGGCGACCATATGTGCCTCGACCAAGTGGGAAGCTAATTAGCTCTTGCGGAATCTGACCTGACCCACCTTGCCCTCCTTGGCACTGGCCAGGGTGAGCAGCTGAGCCCAGCCCCGGGAACAGCCTGTCCTGGCGTCCTGCCAGCGGGTTCAGGATTCAGACTTGGAAGGAAGGATCCTGATGGAGGAGTATTGGCCCCACCCCTCTTTCCCAGATGGGGAAACTGAGGTTCAGAGAATGGTACAGAGTGGGTGAGGCCCACCCACAGTGGCTGCAGACATGGCCACGGGCTCCCTGACCAATACTCTCTTTTTTTGGTCCCAGAGAGGAAGTCTCCCTTTGCTCCCTGCACCCCACACCTGGGAGTGCATGTGTGTGCACCCCACCCCCACCCCCGCCCACCCCCAGACAGCTTCTCTCTGATTCCCCCCACCCCCATCTGGATGTTTGGTCAGGTTGATTCCCTGGGGAAACTGAGTCAAAGGGAATGTCAAACCTCCAGCCTTGTTGGTAAAGGGCAGTGAGGACAGTTTGGTGTGGGGGGAGGGTAGTGCACCCAGGGGGAATCACCTTTCTGTGGGTCTGTCTGTGCGCCCCTGGGGCTCTGTCTGTCTCTCCCCCTCCCCCCGCCCTCGCCATGCACTAACAGGGCCTCTGTCATCCCTGCAGCCTTGGTCCGGAGCACCAGCCTCACTGAAAGGAACCTGAAAGAAGCCAAGGTCCGGAGCCGGCAGATCGCGGCACAGCTGACCACCCCGCCCAGTGGCGGCTCCCGCGGCGTCCAGCTCTTCAACAGGCGCCGGCAGAGGGTCAACGAGTTCACCTCGGAGAGCCACGGCCAGAGTGGACCGAAGGCCAGCCAGGGCTCCCTCCGGGTCTCCACTGCCAGTGCCGCAGGCCATGTCCCGGGGCTCAGCCTGAGTCCTGCGTCCCTCCCCTCTGCCCCGTCCCCCAGGGACTCTGACAGAGGGACCCCCAGCCACAGCATGGAGGGCTGCTCTGAGGAGACGGGCCTGCTGCGGCCGCTGGAGAAGGTGGCCAGCGAGGAGGAAGAGGTTCCTCTGGTGGTCTATTTAAAGGAGAACGCAGCCCTGCTGACGGCCAACGGGCTGCACCTCTCCCAGAACCGAGAGGCCCAGCAGGCCCCGTCAGCCCCACCGGTGACTGAGGTCCCCAGCCCAGTGGCGGATGTCAACCAAAACCTCACCTCTCCGGGTACCGCTCTCATCACCCCAACTTCTAACAGCAACCACATCCTGCCGGCCGCAGATGTCAATCAGAACCCGCCAGCCACTCTGCCCTCGCAGAGCCCAGCCCTCACCAGCATCCAGCAGAATTCCCTGGAGGCCCCGCCCAAGAGCACAGTGCCCGATGCCCAGCCTGGCAACCTGGGTACCGGAGGGCTGCCCCAGGAGGCAGCCGTGGAGATGAGGTCCAGCGTCCTCCTTCCGGAGAACGCCTTCACTGCGCCAACCACCACCAGCACCTTCTGCAGAGACGCGCCTCCCATCACCAGCTTTGGGCCCCCAGCTCCAGACTTCATGTCCAGCTCCCTGCTCATCGACATTCAGCCCAGGGCCTCCAGGGCAGAGCAGGAGATGCCTGGGCAGGCAGCGGCCACCACACCCACCAAGATGTACAGTGAGGTCCACCTCATGCTGGCCAAGCCCCCGTCAGTGGTCAACAGGACGGCCAGGCCCTTTGGGGTCCAGGCCCCCGGGACCCCCGGCCAGATGGAACGGAGCCCCATGCTGGAGAGACGGTACTTCGGAGAGAAGGCTGAGACCCCCCAGCCGTACACCATGGCTGACAGGAGCCCCCGGCCACAGAGACACGTGATGTCCCCCAGCCCCATGCTGGGAAGAAGGTCCGTGGGACAGCGAAGCCCGGCGCTGGAGAGACGCCCCTTGGGGAATTTCACCCCGCCCCCCACCTATGCAGAGACCTTGTCCACAGCGCCCCCAGCTTCCCAAGTGAGGTCTCCCCCCTCCTACGCGGCCCTGTACCCCAGCTCTGACCCCAAGCTTTCTCACCCGAAAGGCCAGGCCGTCCCTGCCAGCAAGACCGGCATCCTGGAGGAGTCGATGGCCCGCAGAGGCAGCCGGAAATCCATGTTCACCTTTGTGGAGAAACCCAAGGTGACCCCGAACCCAGATCTCCTGGACCTGGTCCAGACGGCCGATGAGAAGCGGCGGCAGAGGGACCAGGGGGACGTGGCCGCGGAGGAGGAGCCCTTCGCCCTGGGGGCTGAAGCCTCCAACTTCCAGGCTGAGCCGTCCGCCCGGGACAGGGCCAGCCCGGCGGCCGCAGAGGACACTGTCCCTGAGTGGGCCTCGTGCCTCAAGTCTCCACGCATCCAGGCCAAGCCCAAGCCCAAACCCAACCAGAACCTCTCGGAGGCGTCCGGGAAGGGGGCCGAGCTCTACGCCCGCCGCCAGTCCCGGATGGAGAAGTATGTCATTGAGTCCGCCGGCCACCAGGAGCTGGCCCGCTGCCCGTCCCCCACCATGTCCCTGCCTTCCTCCTGGAAATACTCCACGAGTGGCCCCGGGGGCTTCCGAGTGGCCTCCCTCAGCCCAGCCCGGACGCCACCCTCCTCCCTCTACCACGGCTACCTGCCCGAGAATGGGGTCCTGCGCCCCGAGCCCACCAGGCAGCCCCCCCACCAGCTGCGCTCCTCGCTCTTTGTGCTCTCCCCGCTCAAGGAGCCGGTCAGGGCCCCCTCGAGATCCGCCTCACCCAGGGCCACCTCGTCCAGAGCCGCCTCCCCGGCCAAGCCGAGCTCCCTGGACCTGGTGCCCAGCCTGCCCAAGGGGGCCTTCCCGACGTCGCCGGCCCTGCCTCGGGCCTCCCGCTCTTCTCCTGGGCTCTACACCCCGTCGGGCCAGGACGGCCTGCAGCCCATCTCTGGGAGCCCCACCTACAGCACCGACGTCTCCCCTGTGTCGCCTTCCCGGGCGTGGTCTCCCCGAGCCAAGCAGGCCCCCCGGCCCTCCTTCTCCACCCGCAACGCTGGGATCGAGGCTCAGGTGTGGAAGCCGTCCTTCTGCTTCAAGTAACAAACCGTGTGGAGACCCACTGCCATCAGATGCGGCAGTAGGGGGCTCAGGGCTGAGAGGCAGGAGTCTGGGACTCTGGGGGTGCAGGGTCTGAGGCCGCCAGCAGCTGCCACAGGAGGCCACGTGCCCTCCCTGGGCTGCGGGTGTCCCTCCCGTCTACAGGGAGTCTTAGATTCTGCAACTGAAGGTGGGGGACCCAAGGGGAGCACTGGCTGAAAGTCCCTCGGCGGGCCCTGATGGGATGGAGGAGCTGCCTCCGGCTTTCACGAGCTGCAGAGATGGCAGCGTCTCACTGGGGAAGCCGTGGAGGGGCCTTCCCCATCCCCAGGGTCGCTAAGGCCACGAGAGCCTGCCGGTGACCCAGCCTCTGCTACCCCGGCGGCCTTCCCAGCTCCTGGAGTCTTTCTGCCTGTCGCTGAATTCTCACCTCCAACGGTCTGTTCTTTCTGCCTCTGCCTCTGGACACCGTTTTCTCTCCCAGCTTCACACGGCCTTGCCCTGGCCTCCACGTTCTCTCCTCTGTTCGGTTCGGCAAGAGAATTGAGCCACGGCTGCTGTCTGATGGGACACTTCTGCCCCCGCCTCACCTCCCCCGCCCCCCCTCCATGTTCAGGCTTTGCCGGGCTCCCTCTGGGGTCTGCTGGAGCCGCCTTCCCCCAGACCCACCTGGCTGGCCCTCGTACTGGAGTGAGGGAGGTCCCAGGAGATAGGTTCCCCCAGAGAAAGTGAGTGCTGCAGAATGTGTGGATGTCCGGGGTCAGCAGGGGAGGCCTCTCACCGTGTGTCTATTGGTCTTTTGGCTGCAGACTGGGCCACATTGCCGTGCTAAGGCTGTCCTCTTTGAGCTGACAAAGGCGGGGGGGGGGGGCGGGGGGGTCAGGCATCTCCTCACTCCCTGGCCCTCTGACAGTGGCCATGTTCCTTTCCTTTGGGGGAAGGCCTGGGGTTTTCTCATTTCCACAAGGGGCCTTTCCAGATGTTTCTGTCAGAGAGTTCGAATTTGAGAGGCTGGGCTGATGCACTGCCTTGTAAATGACTGACAAGACAGTCTCCTTGGTGGAGAGCAGGAAGGAATTCAGTGGTGCCCTAGGACAGATGGAGGTTCTGTATCTTTCGGCAGGTTTGTTTCAGGGATGGGCGAGTGGTGGCAGGAAGCCAAGGGATGTGAGATCTAGGATCAGGGTTGCCTGGAGACAGACGAGTGTGGTGAGCACTGAGGCAGGAGCCAGAAGCTCGGGAGAGAGGACAGAGGAGGAGAACCTTCAGGTCTTCAGGAAGAGTCTAGGACTCAGAGGTACGACTTGGAATACAGTGAGTCCACGTGTTTCTCTGGACCTCTGTTTCCTGGTGCAGACAGGGAGGCTCTGGGGCCGATAGCCCCTGATGGCCCTCCTGGTCACTCCTGACACCTTTCATCTGATGCAACACCCCCTGCCCCGAATGGGTGGGGAACTGACAGAATTACAGACACACGAGGCAGGATTCAGATGGAAGCTTTCCAAGACTGGGGGCCGAGCACCACCCACTTCCTCTTTCCTAGCCCTATTTCTGGGCTCCCCAGTGGGGCGAAGGGTGGTGGAGGCGGTGCCCATGCTGGGCTGAGCCTGCAGTTTTCGTGAGCTCGAGGGGGTTCGTCTCCATGGAAACAGGGGTGCTTTCCCAGTGAGCTCATTCTGCCCAGAACTCTGAGGGCATCTGTGGGGGAGTCTTGAGTAAGTGCAGCTCCTTCATGCCAGCCCCTCCCAGGACAGTGCAGCCTCAGCCAGCAGCCACTTCCCCCCACCCCAACCCCCACCCCCGGGGTCCAGCCAGGGAGGAGCCTTGCCCCCCTCTCCTGCAGCTCCGGGAGCCTGGATGCCCCCAATTCTGTTTTCTCCTGTTCTCAATACACTCTGCCTCCAATCTGCCTTGCTTCTTTCTTTCCTCCGCGCTCGTTGACTGCTTGCTGGGCCCCTTTCCTCCTCCCTGATTTGGGTCTGGGAAGTGGGTGGACCTGCAGGGGGTACCACGTGTGAACATGGGTGTGTTCCCCAGCCTCCACATCGACTGTGTGGGAGCTTTCCTGGACACGGCTGACCCGAAGGTAAGGGTTGGACTCTTTTCCCCGGGGCAGCGTCGAGAGACCCAGAATTCCCAGGCTGTCCAGGCATTTCTATTTCTCCTCCTTTTAGAGTTTGGCCAGCAAGACTGAAGAGTAACAGGGCAGCCTTAAAACCCAGTAATGTCTAATTTTGAGTTTTTTAACAGTGGAGCTTAAATGCCTCGAGCTAGGACATAGAAGTTCTGGTTCTCTATCGTTCCCACCTCCCTCCCAGGGATCTAAATCTGGCCTTTTCCCACATTCCTCACTAGCTCCTGAAAGCCCTGGGTGGAGAGAAACAAATAGCCAGAACCAGATTCTAAATGTATTCCTGACTCCATAGGCGTGAACATAGCCTCTGGGTTCTAAATGGCTCCATCCCCCACTCTGGTCCTCAGTTTCCCCTTCCATGCAATGAAGGGATTGCAGAAGGGGCTCTGGGAGATACTTGGTCCTGAGAGTTCTGCCTGAGAAATACCTACGTGCTCAGCCCACATCCTGCTCTGCTCTGGGGCCGGGACTGGGTTAAGTGGGCACAACTTTCTGAATTTTCACTCCTGTGCACTTCCCAGGAGTTCTGGTGCGTTGGAAACATTGAGGTCTCTGCCAGCAAGCAAATGGTTCTGGCTTTCTACAGTCTTTTTTTTTTTTCTTTTTGGGTCACACCTGGTGATACATAGGCGTTCCTCCTGGCTCTGCACTCAGGAATTACTCTTGGCGGTGCTCAGGGGAACATATGGAATGCCAGGAATCTAACCCGGGTTGGCCACGTGCAAGGCAAATGCCCTACCCGCTCTACTATCACTCCAGCCCTGCTTTCTACAGTCTTGACCCTCCTGATCTACTAAACACAGAGACAGGAGTGAGATGGGGCAGTTCCCACGAGGGCTGGCTCTGGCCCCTTCCAAGGGACTCCAAGAAGCTGGTCACCACTGTCCCCAACTTTCCAATCCGGACTTGAGAAGTAAATCCCGCTACTCCTTCCACCTTGCTGGCCCTAGTTTTCACTCGTGGCCCCTCAAGGTAGAAAAAAGTCCCTATTGAGACTTTTGGACAGTGACGTAGTACACCATACCCCTGCACCCTTCTGCCCCCAGCCTACTCTTCTCCTGAAGAGTCCTGGTTCTTTGACCTCCATGTTCAGCGGCTTGGGTTATGAACCCTTGGCCCCACACAACAGCCTGGCTGCCTGAGGTGTCAGATTCACAGCTCTGACTCTGGCAGTAAAAAGGGTAGATTCCATACCGGGCTTCAACTTTCCTACTTGGTGACTAGGGCTTTGCATGTCTCCGGGAAGTCTGAGATTGACTCCAGCATTACCATCCCACCAAAAGTTCCTTTTCCAGCTGCTGTACAATGTTCCTCTTTAGGATGAGGGCCTCCAGTCTGAGTCTGGACTCCCCTATAGCTTTTACCTTGGAAGAAACATGTCTACTTCATATCTGCTACCTCCTTTTCTCTTTTCTTTTTTCTTTTCTTTTTTTTCTTTTCTTTTCTTCCCTTAAGTACATGTACATTTTATGACTTAAAGTAATGGATACAGATACCTCCTATCACAAATGAATATGCTCATCCCATCACATTACAGTGTAACTTAAAACAGTTTTTTTTTAAAGTTGAATCACCATGAGAAATACAGTTACAAAGTTGATGGTGACTGTGTTTCAGTCATACAATGTTCTGACATCCAGCCCTTCACCACAGAACATTTCCCACCACCAACATGCTGTTTCTCTCCACCCTGTCCCCTGCACCTCTATGGCAAACACTTTTCTTCTCTCTCTTCCTGTTATTCCCCTTTGATTTTTGGACCACTCCTGGATCTGCACAGGAATAACTCCTGGTAGTGTTCAGGGAGTCATATGGGTTGCCAGGGATTGAACCCAAATCAGTCACATGCAAGGCAAGAACCCTTCTCGCTATACTATTGCTCCAGCTCTCTTTTCCTTTTATTGATTCCTTTTCATTGGGAGAAATTAGATTCTGATTAGATAAGAGAATGGAAGTTGAATGGTTCTTGACTTTAATGTGGTAGGAGACACTAAATGGACTCACTTAGGACTCAGAGTTGATTACTGGTGAATTCGGCTTGAGGCCGAATGAACTGCTTATTACTGGTATTATTAAAATCTGATCAGATGAACAATCTTAGTAAATACACGCCAGACATGGCTTACCAAATCCAAACTGGGTAAGCACATTAAAACCAGTTCAAACGCATACACACACATCACACACACACACACACACACACACACACACTTCCTAGTTAGGTAGAATACATTGAAGGGTTCTTCATACCTTTGAACTGTATTAAAATGGAGTTGGTATTGCCAACTCCCTTACCAGTCTGTGTGAAGATTTAATGAAAGCCAAAAGGTGAGATTGAATCTTGTAGCATACATATGAAAAATATATAGCAATTTATAGCAAACCCATGCTATTTTGAAAAAATATATAGTTACATAAATATAGTAAATCTGGTGATTTACAATACTGTCAATAATATGGTTAATGCATATAATGGTTCAACACATGCCCCCACCTTTTCCCCTCCATCATTGTCTCAGGGTCCACACTCTTCACACATACCCCCACCCCATCTCCTCACCATAGTAATCTCAGTCCTGCACACCAGTTCTCAGACTTGTTGCTTTCGGCTATTTTTTACTTCCTTTCTGTGCTTCGTATGAAAGAGATCACCCTGTATCTTTCCTCTCCTCCTGGCCCAATACTTCAGTCAGCCTAATATCCTCCAGTTCCATTCATATGGTGATAAATTGCATGATGTCACCTATTCGTATAGCTGAGGGATGTGACATTATGGACATATGCCAGTTTCTTAATTCAATCATCTGTTCTTGGACACTTGTATTGTTCCCAGATTTGGGATTGGCTGTCTTTTTTGGTTTGTTAGGGCCACATTCAGCTGTGCTCTGGGCTTCCTCCTGTCCCTGAGCTGAGGGATCACTCCTGGCAGATTTGAGGGATTCAAATGCAGTAGCAGGGATCAGGCCCAGGTCAACTGCATGCAAGGAAAGAATCTTCTCCACTGTACTATCTCTCTGACCTTGATTTTGGCTATCATGGCAATGAATATAGGAACACAAATGTCTTTTCTGAATAGAGGTTTTGGGGTCTAGGGGTAGATGCCAAGAAGAGGAATTGCTGGATCATATGGTAGCTCAATTCCTAGTTTTCTGGAAAAGGGTCCATATTTTTTTCCGAAAGGGTTGGACCAAGCAACATTCCTACCAAAAACAAATGAGAGTCCCTTTCTCCCCACACCCCTGCCAACACTGGCAGCTTTTGTTCTTTTTGATGTGTGCCAGCTTCACTGGTGTGAGAGGTGATATCTCATTGTTGTTTTGATTTGCACTTCCCTGATCAGTGATAGAGAAATTTTTCCATATACCTATTGTCTATCTGTATGTTTTCTTTGAAAAAGTTTCTTCTCACTCTATCCCTCCATTTTTGATGGGGTTGGTTTTTTTTTCCTGTCAAGTTTTACAAATTCTTAATATAGCTTCAATATTATCCATTTGTCAGATGAGTGGTGGGCAAAGATTTATTCCACCCAGGCTGTGGGTTGTCTTTTTATTCTGGTCACAGATTCTTTTGTGGTGCAGAGCTTCTTGTTTATTTTTGCTCCTGTTTGCTTGGCCAAATGCAATGAATCATTGAGGGTGCCTTTAGATTCAGTGCCATGAAAGGTTCTTCCAATGTTTTCTTTCTATATTATTTGTGGATCCTAGTTCTTTTCAAAGTCTTTAATCCATTCTGAACAGACTTTTGTGCATAGTGTGACAGAGGTTCTGAGTTCATTTTTTAACATATGACTGATTAGTTTTGCCCATCACCATTTGTTGAAGAGACTTTCCTTGATACACGTCATACTCTTTGATCTTTTGTCAAAGATTAACTGTTCATAATATTTGAGGATCTGTCTCTGGGCTCTCAAATCTATTCCACTGGTCTTAGAGTCTATCTTTATATCAGTACCACACTGAATGTAATGCTAGATTACTTGACTGTAATACTTGATACTTGATTACTAGAGATTTATAGTATAGTTGAAAGTTGGGAAAAGAAAAGTATCCCTTCTTTCCTCCTCGCATTGCTTTGGCTATTCAGGGGGAGGGGGTTATTATTCCACTTAAATTCTAATACATTTGTTCTTGGAGAGCCCGGCAAGCTACCTGTGACGTATTCAATATGCCAAACACAGTAACAACAAGTCTCAAAATGGAGATGTTACTGGGCCCGCTTGAGCAAATCGATGAACAACGGGAGGACAGTGTTTTACAGTGTTTACATTTGTTCTATTTCATTTTTAAGTGTCATAGGTATTTTTTAGGGATTGCATTGAGTCTGTACAATGCTTTAGGTAGGATTCTCATTATGACTATGTTAATCCTACCAATCCACAAACAGGGGATGCATTTTCATTACTTATGTTTTATTTCTTTTACTAGTGATTTATAGTTTTTTTAAAATATGTCTTTCACTTACTTGGTGGATTCCTGGGTGTTTTATTTTTGCAGGCACCATTGTATGTGTGCTTTTAAAAAATAATTTCTTCTATTTCCTCATTTGCATATAGGAATGCCATAGATTCTGCGTGTTGATTTTGTAGTCAGTCATGTTACTGTACAAGTTTATTGTTTCTAGTTTGGGGTTTTTTTTGGGGGGGGGTGGAGGTCTTAGATCTTTAGGGTTTTCTTAGTATAGTATCTTTTCATCTGCAAATAATGATAGTTTGATTTCTTTTCCAGTCTGGGTACCTTGATTATTTATTTATTTATTTTGCTTTTTGGGTCACACCCGGCAATGCTCAAGGGTTACTCCTGGCTCTGCACTCAGGAAGCCTCTGCACTCAGGAATCACTTGCTCGGGGGACCATGTGGGATGCTGAGAATCCAACCCGGGTTGGCTGCATGCAAGGCAAACACCCTACCCGCTGTGCTATCACTCCAGCCCCCAGTCTGGGTACCTTTAATATCACTTTCTTGCCTAATTGCTGTGGTAGGGACTACCAATACTATAGGGTATCATATTTATACATTAACGCTAATAGAAGTCCCATTGAGCTATCTCGATAGCCCCAGAGTCATGGTTTTTTTTTATAAACTTCTTTTTTAAAAGGGATTTTATTTTCCTTTTATTAAAACGCCATGATTTACAAAGTCATTCAGAGTTAGGTTTTAGACATCCAAGCTCTGCTCCAGCCCACTAGTGCCTGCTTCCCTCACCACAGTTCCCAGGTTCCCTCCTCTTGTACATTTTAAGTTTGGCTGTTAAAGTTTGAATCTCTTGTTTTCAGTGTACTTAACTCAAGGTTTGGATATTTAGTTCAACCACTCCCATTCGCCACCAGTGTACTCAGATCCCCTTGACCCAGCTCCCTGTTTCTTCTCGTTCAACTCTTCTTCCCTCCCCTTTATTTCTTTTCTGCTTCTCCCTATACTCAGTGTCCGAGGGCGATCTAGCCATCCCCTTCCTCCCCGCTTTCAAACACTGCATTCCTCTTCCAGTTATTCTGTATACCATATAGAAGTGAGGTCATCCTGCGGTTGCCCTTCTTCTTCTGGCTTATTTCATTCATTTAACATGATGCCTTCCAGTTCCATCTGTGTTATAGTGAATTGCATGATTTCGTTGTTCCTTACAGCTGTGTAGTATTCCATTGTGTGTGTGTGTGTGTGTGTGTGTGTGTGTATATTGCATCTTCACGATCCATCTTCATGATCCACTATCTAACACCTAGGTTGATTCTTTATTTTAGCTATTGTACTAAGCATCCAGAGCCATGCTTTTTAACTTCAAATATTTCACTAACTTGACCTCATCCAAGTCACCTTTTCTATCCCATGCTTGCAAGAAAAAGCTAGGGTACTACGTTACCTTGGGAAGAAGGATCTGACTTCTTTCTTTGTTTCCATCTGTCAGTCTAACAAGGAAAAAATAGGAGATGATTCTAGCATCGTGGCAAGGGGTTGGGGCTGAGAGGGCCTTCCTCTGAACTCAACTTCAATAATAATGGTTGATACTTTTGATACTTTAAGGTATCAACCATTATTATTGATATTTATTGATTAATGGATACTTACAGTTGATAGTTTAATTTTGAATGGATTACATCTAGGTGATTAAAGACCTAAACATTTAAAAGCTATATAGTACATTGAAAGCCTGGGGGAAAAGCACTAGTACACCAGGTAGGGTGCTTGCTTTAAACAAACACGGTTCTATCCCGGCACCACATATGGTTCCCCCAGCCCATCAGGAGAAAATCCTGAGCACAGCTGGATATGGCCTAAAACAAGACAAAACAAACAAAAACCTTCATGCCACCACCACTGGCGGTGGACCTTGTCCCTTTCATTTCCTAACTGGCAGCCACTTGTTTAGTTCCCTATGTGCCTTTCCAGTATTTTTGGTTGTTTGTTTTTGTGTGTTTGGGGGCCATGCCTGGCTGTGTTCAGGGCTTAATCCTGATGCTGTGCTTGGGGATCACTCCTGGATGATTGTGGATAGAACCCTGGTGGGCCACGTGCGAGGTAAGAGCACTGCCCGTTGTACTATCTCCATCTCCTCGGGAATTTCTGTATGGGAAATAGTATCTGTTGAGCACATCTACTGATTCACGTTTAAAGAAATCCACCACATGTGAATTTTTTAAAACGTAAACGATCTTTTAGTCCTCCCGCTAGTGTACCCCACTTTACTGAGGAGGGTGCTGAAGCCCAGAGGCTTCACAATGCTTCCTTTGCTGGAGCAATTGACTCAGACTCTCAGCAAGCACAGGTGGTGGTCCCCAAAGGGAGCGTTCCATGAGCAATTTACCACTGCAACCAGGGACCTTCATTGCTGTCCAGGTGCCCCTCCCTGTACAAAGAACACATCCAACCCGGCTCTTTCCGACACCCCGCTCTGGAGGACCCCAGCACTAACGCATAGCCCTCCCCGCCTTCTGCTCTCTCCCCAGGACCGCCGGGAAAGCCTGCCCACCTCCCCGCCCTGGACACCGGGGCCATCGCGTCCTCCTAGCAGCCTGGACGGCTGGATGAGCCCGGGGCCCTGGGAGCAGGGCCGCGGGAGCAGCATGGGCAGTCCCCCGCCGCTGCCGCCGCCGCCTCCCCTGTCTCCCTCGTGGAGCGAGCGCTCGGTGTCCCCGCTGCGACCCGAGCCCGAGGCGCGGCCCCCCAGCCGCCAGCTGCAGGCACTGCTGGCGCGGAACATCATCAACGCCGCCCGGCGCAAGAGCGCCTCCCCGCGGCCGGCGGCGGCAGAGCGCCTGCGGCCCTTCTCCCCGCCCGGGCTGCAGCCGCCGCCGCCACCGCCGCCACCGCCGCCGCCGCCGCCGCGCATGCGCTCGCCACTGCCCGCCCGCCCGGGCCCGGCCCGCGCGGTGGCCACCGCCTTCGCCCCGATCGCGCGCAGCCCGGGGCCCGCTGCGCCCTCCCCCTGCGCCAGCCCCCGGAGCCCGCCGCCCGCGCCGCCCAGGCCCTACCCCTACCGCCGCTCGCCCACGGACTCCGACGTGTCCCTCGACTCTGAGGACTCCGGGGCGAAGTCGCCGGGCCTCCTCGGCTTCAACATCTGTCCCCGGGGCTGGAACGGCAGCCTCAAGCTCAAGCGCGGGGGGCTGCCCGCCCAGGCGTCCTGCACCTAAAGGGGCGCCTCTGCCAAGCCCCAGGGGGCCGCGATGGGCGGGCTCGGGGCTGGGGTCGAGAGCCACGCATGGGTCCCAACTCTTCTGCATCATCAGAGGCCCCCGCTCTGTTAGACATTCCTTGTCCCCACTGTTTCATGGGGCTTTTTACCAAAGCAGTCCTCGGAGGTCTAAATGCTACCTTCTCCCCCCAACCCCATCCCTGCATCCCCCAACACACACACACACGCACACACGCACACACACACAGAATTCCATGGTTTCCTCCCCCCTTCTGCCCTCCTAGCTTTGCCCTCTGGAATGTGGCAAAATGAGCGGTCAGTTCAGATCTAAGTTCTCTGTCGCGGCCCTGGCTTGACCATCCACCTTCCTGGCACCAAGTCCTGGGCAGGAGCAGCTGTTTTCCACCCCTTCCCAGACCAGCTCTATTTTTACCACAGTGACCTTTGAAGAGGCCTCCCAAGCCAGGCCAAGGTGTCCTGCTGGCCCCTCTGAAGACAACAGTGGAAGATTCCGCCTCCCAGACCATGTCTGGCTGTTCTCCACCCTCCTCAGACCGGTCAGCACGTTCTATCTGCAGCCAGAGAAAGAGTTGCTAGGTGCTGCTTCCCTGCACCGACTGGGGCCTCCAGGAAAACCCTCAGACCCTCTTGGGCCCTTTCATGGCAGCTTCTGGGCCCAACCCTGAGCTGGGAAGGAAGGTTATGTGGAGCTGTCCTGTGATTTACCATATAGTCTAAGGTTTGAAATTGCGTGTCTAGTAAGAGGGAGGTGAGGAGTTACTTTGTGGGTCATCTGAAAAGTCCAAGGGGTGAGGAAGGAGGGGATCACAGTCGAGTTCTGACTCGGAAGAATGCAGGGCGAGAGGAGCATGGGAGGGGAAAGAGGGGTTAGACCACATCCGCCCGCATTTCTGTTTCTTCAAAAAGTGCCTTATTCTTTAGTGCCAGTTCCCAGCCAATGTCCACGGTCACGTCCAGTTGAGCGAATACTTTCGACCCCACTAGTTTCCTATTGGAGGCCTAGATAGTGCCTGATACTCAGTAACCTTAGGGAGACTGCGTGCCTTTTAGAAGTTCAGAATATCAGTTTCAGGGGACTCCAGGGGTGGGGTGTGGGGAAGGGGGTTGGAATGGGCTGAGGGTCAAAGGGATATACGAGAAAGGATAATAGGATGTTGCTAAAAAGGTGAGGGATACCATGTCATTTGGATTTCAGACTTACCCACTCGTCAGGGTGATGCTAGATCTGGAACTCTCAGCTGCGGTGCAGGTGGGAAAGAATCGGGGTGCTTTTGAATAAAGGGGTGATCCCAGAGAATTCTTTGGGCTTAAGGACTGGGGACAGTTCTGTTGGTGGAGAGGGTACTTCGACACAGTCAAGCATCCTTGTTGCTCAGGAGACGAGCTAGGGGTCTCTCTCAGAGAAGATGTACCATCAGACTCCTGGCTGATGCAGTCACCTAGAGCTGTGGTTTTCAACCTGGTTCCACCGGCAGACCAGCATCCGTTCATTGCCCTGGGATTGAAATCCACTTCCACCTGCATTTCCCCCAAAGAGCCAGCAGGAGGTAGCTTTGTAAAGTTGCCATTCCCAAGTCCGACTGATCTCTCCCTACCACTCGCTGCCTTTCCCGTCCTTTCTCCTAATCCGTGGAACCGCCTTTTGCCTCCTATAGAATTCAGCTCTGGCCCTAATAAATGCTTCCTGCATCCTTCTGCCTCCCCGTGTCCTTTTCGGTGGTGTCTGAAGTTCTGTTCTCTCTAGTCCCCAGAGGATTAAAGTGGATGTGAATGAGTTGTGTGGGATGAAGCCTAAGGAGCAAGGACCATGAGGAGAGATAGGAAACTTAGAAACACTTGGGGCCTAGGAGGGATCCCTGGGCTGAAGTGTTGGTGCACACACAGGCTGCTCCTCCAAGCCTCAGCTTCCCTGTGTGTGAGTGAGTAGGTGGGTTAAGGAACGATTGGGGCCCAGCAGGTGTAGGCCCTGGGCCCAGCTGCTTCCTCCTGGCAGTGGTCGTGCCTGTGGAGATGGCAGGCGGCCCTGTGGTACCTGAGTATCAGGAGTGCCTCTCTTCTGGCTCCTACCCGCCAGTTGCGGCCAAACCTCTTTCCTAAGAGGAGTCAGAGATGCGTGCCTGGACGATCTGTCCTGCACACAGCTCAGATGCCTTCCACCCTCAGCCCAGGGCTCTCTTCTCTGGGAGTGCTGGGTCACTCTCTGACACATCTTCATCTTCAGCACAACTCTCCTGAGTGCTGTGTCCCACTGACCTACTGCATGTCTCCGACACGTCCTACCGAGTTCATCCCCAACTGAATTTGGCATCTGTCCTCCACCCCCAAGGGGCTACCTGTCTCGGTCACTCCAGCCTGAATCTGCTTCTGTTGCACATTCAACTTCTCGTTGGGATGTGGGGAAAACCCCCATAACTCTTAGGTCCCTCACTCCTCTCCATGCCTCCCACTCTCTAGCTCCTGCCCTCAGACTTCTCACTTGGCTACAGTAATACCCTTTTGCTTCCAGGGCCGGGGGTGTGACTCAGCAGTAAAGTACTTGACTTGCATGTGTGAGACCCTGGGTTTAATTCCTGCTACTGAAAGAAAAAAGAAAGTCTGCTGCCAACTAAATTCCCCCAATGTCCCAACCCATTTTTCACACACAGCCAGAGATATCTTTGGAAAATGCTAATTGACCACCCTGTTGCACCCCCTTTAAACCTCCCACCAATCCCTTATAAGTTCACTATCCCTCCTATACAGCCTTCTGGGGTCTGATCCTGTCCACCTCACCTCTCAGCGCTGCCCTGTCACCTTCAATTCTGGTTCGAGTTGTTGACCCCTAGGCCTACACGTGTGCCATGACTCTGCCTGTGACACCATGCCCTTTGCTACCCCAATGAAGTACCCAGCAGCCAAGGATCTGCTCAGATGTCTTCTCTAGAAGCTCTTCCCCATGCCCCACCCCCAATGCTTCCCATGATGCATTGTAAACGCTTGCTGCTGGATCTGATTCCTCCTGGCTCAGGTCCTTGAGAAGAGAGCTCTGTCTTATTTCCACCTCAACAGAGATTCTCAGGGGCTGGAGCGAAAGTACAGCTAGTAGGATGCTTGCCTTGCACACAGTTGGCCCCGGATTTGATCCTGGTACCCTATATGGTCTGCTGAGCCTTCCAGGAGTGCTCCCTGAGCAAAGAATCAGGAGCAAGCCCTGAGCACCACCAGCTGTGGCCCCCAAACAAGAGAGAGACTCACAGAATATGACACGGCGTAGAGAGATAGAAGGGAGGAGGGAAGGAAAAAAACCATCCATACATTCATGCATCAGGCAACTGTCACTCACAGGCTCGTTTGTTCATGCAGTAAATATCGATCGAGCGCCTAACAGGTGCTCTTCTAGGCACCAAGGAAACAATGCATAAACTCAAGTAACAGGTCGCTGGTGTTCAGTGGACTCTGTTGTGTGCGTTGGAGTGTCTGTACATGTGTGAGCGAGCCCTCTGTCTGCAAGGGCCTGCTGCCGGCCACCTGTCTTCCCTGGGCCCTGGTGCTCTTAGCATCTGGCCCTGGATCCTGTTGCAGCCCGAAATAAGGCAGTAAGCTGTGCCGAGGCAGAAAAGATTCTTGTCATCTGAGGCCAGAACCAGCTGTAGAACACACCCGGAGTGCTGACTGCCGGCGGCCAGCACAGAAACCACCACTCAGAAACCACCAGCACTCAGCTTCCGGGCAAAGGTGTTAATCTTGAGCGTCCGACATACCCTCCTGACCTTTGGGGTCCCATCTCTCAGGTACCAGGAGTCTAGGGGTGCTCAGGGAGCTGCAGAGGAGTGGGCAGAGAAGATGAGTCAGTTGCTAGAGCGTTCCCCACCCCCAGGAAGAGGTCGGAACCTGGGCAGGACCTGGGAGTGGGTCTGGAGGAAGCCGAATCCTGCATGGAGGGAGGGGTGAGCGCTGCTCTGAGTGACTCAGTGCGCAGGATTGGAGAGAAGGGGTGGCTGGGGTCGAGCAGAGACTGGTAATGGCTCCTGGAGTCCCTCTTTGTAAAGTTCAGGCTCCTCCCAATGTCTCTGCATTTCCAGAAAAGGGGGGCAGGGGTAACAAGCAATGGATCTGGGGACTGTCCAACTAAGTGGCCATAGCTAGAGCAGTTACAAACACGACCCTCACCCAGATGCATGCAATGCACGTGTATGCAAGCAGTTTTCTTTCTTTCTTTCTTTCTTTCTTTCTTTCTTTCTTTCTTTCTCTCTCTCTCTCTTTCTTTCTTTCTTCTTTCTTTTTTCCTTTCCCTCCCTTCTTCCCTCCTTCCCTCCCTCCCTCCCTTCCTCCCTTCTTTCCTCCCTTCCTTTATCCCTCCGTCCCTCCCTCCATCTCTCTGTCCCTCCCTTCCTCCCTCCCATCCATCCTTCTTTCCTTTCTTCTTTCCCTCCCTCCCTTCCTCCCCCTCTCCCTCCCTCCCCCCTTCCTCCCTCCCTCCCTTCCTCCCTCCCTTCTTTCCTTCTTTCCCTTTCCTTTTTTTTTTTTGCTTTTGGACCACACCCAGTGATGCTCAGGGGTTACTCCTGGTTCTGCATGAAGGAATCATTCCTGGCAGTGCTTGGGGAACCATATGGGATGCCAGGGATTGAACCCTGGTTGGCCGTGTGCAAGGCAAACACCCTACCCACTGTGCTAGCGCTCTGGTCCCTGCAAACACTTTTGGAGGCTCAGGGATGCCCGAGGCACACCCATGGAATCCCATGGTAGCCTGATCCCCTTCTGTTAAGCACAGGGCTAGGGAAGTCCTTGCTCATAGTAGCAGAGGGAGTTGGATGTGGACCTTGACCAGATGCCTGGTCCAGGTTTGGGGGAGGTGAGTGGAGAGATGGAGGTGGTGTGTTCTCTAGAGGAAGGAACACAGGAAGACCAGGGAGGAGAGGAGGTGACCTGGGTGGGAGGTCTCCAGGGTCTCCGGGTCTTGACCTTCTCTCAGGGCCCAGTTAGTGGATCTCGATTCAGGACTGTGGAGCTTCTCTGGGTTTCTATCCTCATATTATTTCAAATCTCCAAGATTTCTGGTAAGAGGCATGAGATGCAAGTAGGGGGATGGAAGAGAGAGAAGGAACAAGAATAAGTAAACTGAGGAATAAGTCAGTTAAAGGAAGAGTGGGGTGGAGAGTTCGCTCAGCTTCCTTGGGTCACAGACAAGAAATGGAGACAAGAGGGGAATTCACTCCCCCACATCCTCTCCCTCTAACTGAAACCTCCAGCCTCTTGTTAAAGTTCTCCTGAGCCAGTGTGGTGGCGGGGCAGTTGGGAGAGACAGGGGAAGGGGGGTGACAGTATTCTGAGGGCCAGCCCCCTTTTTCCCATGCTCCTAATGTCCCCCAAACACCTGTTTGGTCCTGGGGAGTGAACCCAATGATGAGAAAGCATCTCTAGCAACATGGGATCAGGTCTGTGTGACCTCAAGGGTCTTGTAGCCTTCCGAATTTCAGTGTCCTCCAAGTCTCCCCAGCTGACACAGCAGGCCAGGGCAAGAGTTGAGGGGGAATGAAAGTGACTTGGCCCATCAGAGGGAGTCTTCTCTCCACAGGATGATCCCCGAGGAACAGAAAGGACCAGAGCTGGCTGCCGGGAGGGATCTCGCTGGGCCAGGTAAGGGGGACACAGGCCAATATGTTCTTCGGACCCTCCTTTGTGGAGCCTGACCTCAGGCCTGGGCACACAGGCTTCACATCAGCCCTGTGGGAGGGTCTAGGGAATCTGCCTTCTGGATAGACTTCCCGAAACATTAGGGGCTGATTTTTTTTTTTAATTGAATCACCATGAGAACAGTTAAAAAGCTTTCAGGTTTAAGTCTCGGTCATACAATGATCAAACATCCATCACTTCACCAGTGCACATGTTCCACCACCAAGAATCCCAATATATCCCCCATCCCACCCCTCCCCCTGCCTGTGTGGCAGATGATTTTCACTTTAGTATTTTTTTACTTTGATTACATTCGATTTTTCGAGAGAAGAACCACTAATATTATTTGGAATTTCCCCCCAATAATCAGACCTGCTGAAAAGGCATCATTAGATAATTTGTTTTATATTGCTGATAATGAAGAGCATATGATGTCACGCAGCTGCAATAGCAGTTTGGATTTTTGATATTTTGGATTTTGTATTTCTGGTATTTTAGTAATTAAGTCTGGAGGGATTTCTGCTAGAAGCTGCTGGGTTCCGAGATTGGCTTGTGTGCCTCTGCGATCATGGCCATTCAGGAGTGGAGGAGCCATTTGTGGGCGGCAACTTGGGGTCTTGTCTGGGCGGGGAGAAGGGCTGGTTCCGCCCCCCCCATCCTGAGAGGCTAGGGGCTGATTCTTATATTCACCTACCCAGTTGCTGAGACTGAACATCTTAGACTGGGCCCTGGCCCCAGCTAAGTCTAAGCCCAGACTAGACTGAGGGCTCTAGCCTCAGGGCCCGGCCTCCCGGAGCCAGAACACAGTTGGCCTTGCTCATTCAGCTCTTGTGAGCCTCTGAGGCCCGAGGCAAGGAGTGGGGAGAGTGGGTCAGGGAACAGGAGCTGCCCACATGAGACCACTTCACTCAAGCTGGCTCTTCCAGTCATCAGTACATTCTTGAAAAGTCTACCAACTTTATCTATTTTAAAATTATTTCAGTTGATTCAGATTTTGTGGTCTACAATACAATCAATAGTGGCTCCTCATGCACATAATTTCAATGCCACACCCACCACCAGTGTCCCCACCTCCCTCTCCCAAGGACCCCAACACCTCTCCCTCCCTTTATCTGATGTACTGTGTCCAGATTTACCATTCAGTAGGATGGCATTTTTTGTTATCTTTTGTTTGGGAGCTACATCTGGCAGTGCTCAGGGGTTACTCCTGGCTCTGTACTCAGCAATTATTTCTGGCAGTGTTCGGGGGACCATATGGGATGCTGGGGATCAAACTCGGGTTGGCCAAGTGCAAGGCAAATACTCTACCTGCTGTACTATCGCTCCAGCCCCATGGTTGACATTTTATTAGCATTTCCATGGCTATCAACTTTATAAGATCTCTTCTGGAAATTCTTGGCTTAATTTTGATGTCTGCTTGTTTAACTTACTTGAACGCATTTCAAATGTTTTTACAAACAAAGTTAGGACTCTCACACTTTAGTGTGAACCATAGTGACATGGTACCATTGGTAGAAAATACAGGTTTCCAGTAATTAATTGCTCACAGGGATTTAAATTTAGTGGCCAGGATGGGGCCATGGTGGTGGTGTGTTTGAGGGTTGGGGGGACACCATACATCTTCTCAGGGGACTCTCATGCTTTGGAACAGCCACCCAAGCTCTGACAAACCCTGTCCAAGGACAAACCCTGTCACAAGTTTGCCTCCTTCCAAGTCCCAAGAAATGTTTTGCTGTACTGTATGTGTGTGGTCCCTTGAATCTGTTTTTGTATGTTCTTGTCTCCTTTACTCGGTGTTGTTCCTTCTTATTCCATGATTTTGTGTGCTGAAATAGGCAAACTTTGTGAGTATGGATTCTCTGAACAGGAGAATCATTCTCTTTTTCTCTTGTCTGGATAATGAAATAACTGGAGTTACATAGACTGATATCATTTACACCAAACAGGAAATTATAAACTTCTGATTATTGCTAGGGTTCTAGTTCAAGACAAATTTGAAACTAAAGAAAAGGAAAAAAATGAATCTCTTGACTCACCTTTAAGAGATAGTCACTGTAAAGTAACACTGATGCGAACAACACTATTATGTACTTCCTGTGTCAGCTGCTGTGCGGAGCAATTTTAACCTTAACCTGTATAATTCTCCAGCAACTCTAAGCCTGCTATTGTTACCCTCATTTTGGAAAACAAGGCTCAGAGGAACCCTCTCGTCATCCATCTGGCAGATGGGAGAACTGAGATTTCACTTCAGATCGCTTTGTACCCAGAGCTGCTTCTCTGCTATCGGGTTCTACAAATAATACATCCATTTGATAAACAGTTGAGACAAGATAGCAGAATGACTTTAAAATGAAAATTCCTTATAATGGAACCATCTGAAAAGAATACCCTTAACATATTTATTTGTGTAAACACTCTTCTGCTCATGTAGAAACATATTTCTATAAAAACACTTACATATGGACTATGCGCTAGAGACTAGACTTCAGCTGCAAATTTGTTTGGGACGCTGGTGTTCTGTTTTTGGAGCCACACTCAGCTGCACTCAGGAGCCATTTCTGGCTCAGTATCTGGGCCACTACGCAGTGTCGGGGATCGAACTCAGGCCCCCTTGGAGGCCAGAGTGATAGTACAGTGAGTAGGGCATTTGCCTTGCATGTGGCCAACCTGGGTTGAAACCCCGGCATCCTACTCAATGTCTCTTTTGCAAACCACAGCACTTAAGGGGAGAGAGATAACAGAAGGGAATGCCCTGCCACAGAGGTAGGGTGGGATGGGGGGAAGGGGGGTGGGAGGGATACTGGGACTGGTAGTGGTGGAGATTGGGCACTGGTGAAGGAATAGGTATTCGATCATTGTATAACTGAATCCCAAGCACAAAACTTTGTAAGTCTACAACTGTACCTCATGGTGTCTCACTAATAAAAAAAAAAAAAAAAGAAAAGAAACCCCGGCATCCAATATGGTCCCCAAAGCAAAAGTGCAGAGCCAGGAGTAACACCTGAGTATCATCTGGTGTGACCCAAATAGCCAAAAAAAAAAAAAACCCACAAAGCAAAACAAACCCAACTCAGGCCCCTGCAGGCAAAAAAATGCACCATCAAGCTTTCCTCCAGATCCAAGAAAATGTTCTTAATTTAGCAGCAAAACACAAATTCTTCCATCTTTTTATGTTTTTTTATAAAGGGAGATTCTCTGCCCTCGTTTTCAACATAGAGCATCTTTTTTATAAACCCCTTTTCCCACATGGGATATATTGTATAGATGCAATACATCCCCTGTATAAAACTGTAGCACTGCACTGTAGCACCGTCTTCCCATTGTTCATCTATTTGTTCAAGTGGGCAACCAGTAACGTCTCCATTGTGAGACTTGTTACTGCTTTTGGTACATCGAATACACCATGGGAAGCTTGCCAGGCTCTTCCGTGCAGGTGGGATACTCTCGGTAGCTTGCTGGGCTTTTCGAGAGGGACAGAGGAATCGAACCCGGGTCAGCCACGTGCCAGGCAAATGCCCTACCCACTGTGCTATCACTCCAACTGCTAGCAAAGGTTAGCGGACATATTGTCTAAATTTATATACAATATGCTCCATCATAGAACATATTGATATATTTATATACAATATGCTCCCTGCACAGGACATATATTATATATATATATATATATTTGTATATACTCCCTCTCCCACATAGAATGTGTTGTATATACTTATATACAATATACCCGCTGCATATAATGTATTGATATATTTATATAAAATATGCCCCCTGCGTACTATGAAGCATACTGTCTGTTTATATACAACCCCCTGCACAGAGTGTCTAGTATATACTTATATACTTCCTTCCCTCACAGTGGCTGTGAAGACAGGTTGGAACCTGTAGCAGTACTGAGAGTGACTTTTGAGGCTGTTCTCAGAAGCAGAAGGGCAGGCTCAGAGGTGGGCTGAGTGGATGGCCCAGCCTCAGAATGATGTCTGAGGGGGTTCCAGAGAGTTGAACTGCATGGGGATCATTCTTTTTATTTCTTTTGCTCTTTGGGTCACACCTGGTGATGCACAGGGGTTACTCCTGGCTCTGCACTCAGGAATTACTCCTGGTGGTGCTCGGGGGACCATATGGGATGCTGGGAATCAAACCCGGGTCAGCCGTGTGCAAGGCAAATGCCCTACCCGCTGTGCTATTGCTCCAGCCCCTGCGGGCTCATTCTTCCCAAGCAGGGGGTCCTGGCAGCTCCCACAGAGTCCCACAGAGTCAATTGGTGACTGACTTTGAGCCACAGAGGGAGCACCATGCTCAGCTCCCATGAGACTGAGCTCTAGTACCCTCCCCCCAACTTTTATTGAGGCACTCTGATTGATAGTACTGCTAATGATTGGATTTTGTGCAAAGAATTTTCCAGCAGTGTCCATTTCTCTCCAAAGACCTCTCCCATTCAGTGTCCCCCTACCCTTGGTTGGTTCAGTTCTGTAGACCAGTTCTCAGGTTGGAATGTCTTTGACCACTTGCTATTCTCCTACTGTTTCTTTCTATCACACAGATGAGGGGGCTCACTCTGTATGTGTATTCTGTACCTGTCTCTCCTTCCAACTGACTTCACTCAGCATGATTCATTCTAGTTCCATCCATAGAGGAGAAATTGCATGATTTAACTTTTTTCTCATAGTGATAGGCTTGTTGAGTCATAGTCTCTTTTTTTAGTCATCTGTTCTTGGACACACGGGTGGTTTCCAGATCTTGGCTATTATGAATAGTGCTGCATTAAGATCACTGTTCAAATTTCTTTTCAAAATACTGTTTTTGGTCCTTTGTTGCAGAAGCCTAGAAGTGGAGTTACTGGGACATATGGAAGCTTAATACTCAGTTTTTGTTGAGGGTTTTTCATTTGTTTGTTTTTGGACCACAGCCAGTGGGGCTCAGGGCTTATTCCTGGCTCTATGCTCAGGAATCACTCCTGGCAGACTCAAGAGAGCACATTGAGTGCTGGGGATTGAACCTGGGCTGGCTGTGTGCCAGGCAAATTCTTTGCCCTCCATACTATCTCTCTGTCCCTCAATTTTAGTTTTTGAGAAGTGTGCATATTGTTTTCCAAAGAAGTTGAACTAGTTAACATTCCTACCAACAGTAGATGAGAGTTCCTTTCCCCCATATCTAAGCCAACATTGGTTGGTTTTGTTCTTTTTGAATTTTTAATAGGCCACACCCAGTGTTACTCAGGGCTTACTCCTGGCTCTGTGCTTAGGGGATCACTCCTGGCATGGTTGGGGAACCCTATGGGGTGCTGGGGGTCAAATCTGGGGTTAGCTGTGTGCCAGGCAAGTCCCCTGCGCTTGTACCAATCGAGTCCCAAGTTTTGTTCTTTATGATGTGTGGCATTTTTGTTGGTGTGAGGTGGTATCTTGAACTGTCTTGATTTGCATTTCACTAATCAATGATACAGAGGATTTTTTCATCTACCTATTAACCATCTGTATGTCTTCTTAAAAAAAGTGTCTTTTCATTTCTTACCGCCCCCCATTTTTGATGGGGTTGTTTGTATTTATGTCATTGCACTTTGATATCTAATTTTTACAAATTGACTACCCCCTCGAAATAAACATATATTTATCTTTGGGTGTGTTTTGTTTGGCATTAATCCCAAGAATAAAGGTGTTTAATCAAGTAGGCTTTATCTAGAAACTTTTATTTGGGAGGAAAGGGAAGGTTGGAGCCCCCAGTCCTCTGGGGCTACTCCTGGGTCTGTGCTCAAGAGTGATCCCTGGCAATACTTAGAGACTATATCTGGTACAGAACCGGGGTGGGCCTTGTGCAAGACAAGTACATTGCCTCCTGTACAAATTCTCCAGCTAAGCTTTCAATTTTCTAAAGACACAACAACAAACTCCCCTCCCCCACCTTGGTCTATAAATCTCAATTCATCTTATATTTGAAAATATGACTTTTACTGTGTATTTGTAGTATTTCAGACATGTAAGTGTGCAGTACATTTTATTACCAAGAATTATTTTAAGTTAAATGTCCTTCTATGTTCTACAAGTAGTCCCTACTAATGTTTGAAATAGCTCCTTACGTATTTTAATGACAGTGTAAGAACATACTTATATATTATGATACATTTTTTAAAAGCCACTGTATTTCAGAACTTTAAAAAACCCTTTTTTAGGGCTCAGTGATAAGGGTTCATACATATGAGGACTAGGATACACCCGCCCCAAATCAATTACAATGCAGGCTCTCACCGGTCACAATCAGGAGGCACCTATGAAGTTTTGATGACTAACATAATGTGATATCTTAGATGTGATTCTTGGGCAAAAAATTTTTGAACGAAGAAAATGGCCAGGGGATGGTGGAGGAGGTGGGATGGCGGAGAGAGAGTACAGCAAGTAAGGCACTTGCCTTCACAAATTATGTGTTCCCTGAGCACAGAGCCAGGAATAAACCCTGAGCACATCCAGGTGTGGCCCCAAATTCCCTCCTCTTCTCCCCAAAACTATGGAAATCTGGAACAAAGGAGCTATTTTGAAGAGCTGGAGCACATGGTTTGCGTGCAACAGATCACAAGTTGGATCAGGGGTACCACCTGCCCTTCTGAGCACTATTGATGTGACCCGAGGTTCCCCAGCATCACCTGGTCAGAGCAACACCACATCACCAACGCTGAGCATCTCCAGGAATGGCTTCCAACCACTATGAGCACAGCTTGGGAGATGCCCCACCCCCAACAAAAGAACAAGGGAAATCTGAATGTTAGTGCACAGTTTTAAATTGAGATATACTTGTCATATAGCATTAGTTTTAGGTATAGAACATAACAATTTAACATTTGCTTATGGTCACCACAATAAGTCACCCCTGAGCACTGCCAGGTGTAGCCCCCCCCAAACCAAAAAGTAAATAAGTAAAAGAGTAAAAGATACACAGGCAAGTTTTCCAATCTTGCCTCCATGACTATGTTGCAGAGGAAATTCATGGAATAAACAAAATTGGCCGCAGAGCATATGAAATGGCGTCTGTGTCCCGGAGGGTCAACCATACACTAATTAAATTCTGAAACGTCACTTCTGCTCTTCAGGTGGGCAAATATTCTGTAAAATGATGACCCCCCATATAATGTCAGCATATGGGGGAAAGAAGCTTTCTCATTCATAACACACCACATGTAAGGTGACCCAGTGCCCCGAGGTTTGACATTCAGCTCTTGGTCTCTCTCTCTCAGAAGTCCCTTTGCTAAACCTGGGCAAGAAGTTGAAAGTTCCCCAGGACTTGATGATAGAGGAGTTATCCCTATGCAACAACAGAGGATCTCTCCTCTTCCAAAAAAGGCAGCGCCGCGTGCAGAAATTCACCTTTGAGCATGCAGCCCGACGACAGGAGGTGAGTGAGCCCCCTACTCCTGCAGAGGAAACTGAGTTGAGAGAGAGAGAGAGAGAGAGAGAGAGAGAGAGAGAGAGAGAGAGAGTCAGTGGTTGGTCTAACGCCAGTGAGTCAGAGGAGGACTCATGATCTCAAGGGAGAGCCTAAGTTTCACTTGGGTGTTCTTGAAATGAAGCCTCTGTCTTACCCTGTGGCTTTCGTTGGGAGATCTTCAGGCGTCTCCACTGAGATAGGCATAAAGTGAACAGGAAGAGTGGTGAAGTGAAGTGATTCCTCTAAAAGTGTAGACAAGGGGTCGGAGCAATAGCACAGCGGGTAGGGCATTTGCCTTTCATGCGACCGACCCAGGTTTGATCCCCGGCATCCCATATTGGTCCCCCAAGCACCACCAGTAGTAATTCCTGGATGAAAAGCCGGGTGTGACCCAAAAAGCAAAAATAAAAAATGAAAATAAAAAATAAAAGCACAGAAGAACTTCCAGGCGCTGCTCGGGGCTACACACTCCAGCAAGCTGCATACCGAAAACAATTTTACTAACATTTTACTAATCCCACTGGGAGAAGGGAAGTGCCCTAGAGCAATGTGCTGCTGGAGATCCTTAGAGAAGGGTTTGTCCTTGGCTCTCAAAACAGCTGATGGTTCCAGGTACATGCAGTGAACTCAGGGGTGTTCCCCGCAGGCTTTGTCCCCTTTCTGGACTTGACTGAGGTGATGGAGAGGACCTCATTTGGCAAAGTAATAACATGAGAGAACACCCTCTTTGTAGTGTGCCGAAGCAAGGACTTGAAGTATATCGTTTCCCACCGTGAAGTTGAGCCCTACAAGCCTGATCGTTCTCATCACTCACATCTTTCAGAAAAAGGAAGCTGTGGCCCAGAATGACAAATATCTACTCAATATCATGCAGCAACTAACGTCTAGAGCCTCTCCATGTTCAGGCACTCGATTGAACACTCTGCATTTTTTTTTGGTCTTTTTGGGTCACACCCAGCAATGCTCAGGGGTTACTCCTGGCTCTGCACTCAGAAATTAATCCTGGTGGTGCTCTGGCGACCATATGGGATGCCAGGGATCAAAACCTGGGTTGGCTGCCAGAAAGGCAAATGTCCATACCACTGTGCTCTCTCTCCAGCCCCCAAATGCTGTACGTTATTAACTCACTGCATCCCCCCATGTCACTCGGGGTTGGTAGCTAGGACCTGACTCTTTGGTGCTAGAATATCCTCTGCCTTTTGACCCACCGAGTCTCCTGGTGATTTGTTTGTCCCACCACAGGTCATGACTGGAGGTCCGGGGACAGCAGAGCAGAGGACAGTGAGTATGGAGGGGGAGCCCATAGAAAGGAGGGTTTGGGAGAGGGACTGGGCAGTGGGGATGCAGAGTGCCCTGCTTCTGAACATGCCCTGTTCCCAGGTTGCCAATGGCCCAGAAGAGCAGAACTACGGGTCAGAGATGCACAACTTTGCAGGCTCCCCTGGGGGCTCACAGCAGACAGCCCCTAGGGAGGCTGCCTACAGCCCAAGCGCCCTGGCACCAGGTGAGTGATCTGCGTGAAGAGGGGTCCTCTGGGACCTGGATGGGAAGCAGATCATGGGTGAGCCCCTCACAAAGCAGTTGAGTCACAAACATACATGTAACACACAGCACACCACACAATACAACATAAAGCACAACACAAAAGAACATGCCCCACCATAATACACACTGCACTGACACACACCACACATATAAACACATGAGAAATACATACTGTACACCATGCAGCACATACCACACACCACGTACACCCTACACATAAGCATATGACAAATACACAGACCACACACACACCACCATACACCACATCACACACACTATACACACTACACATACCATGCACATAAACACATGACAGATACATATTTTACACCCACACACTACATATCACATACCACATACCACATGCACACCAAATAATCATGGAAAACACATAGAATGCACACACCACTAAACACCACTACATAGCACACACACCACACATATGACAAATACATTCTGTACACTATGCTATACTACACAAACCGTACATACCACATACCACACACACCACACATATAAACACATAGCAAATACATACTATATACCACACAATACATACCATACGTATCACTTGTACCACACACACCAAATACCACACACACCACACAATAAACATGACAAATACACAGACCACTCACTACATACTATATACTTACCACATATACACTCTGTACACATACAACACACCACACATTACAGACCACATACATACCAGGCACATAAACACAAAACAAATACACACTATACATACCACACACGGTACATACCACAAAACACACACCACAAACATGAACACATGACAAGCACACACAGTACACACCATGCACACTACACAGCATACACTATGCACCTCACATATAAACACAAATTAACATCACATACCAACCAGACAACATACTGCACATGAATACATGATAAATACACACTGTCCGTACATGCATGCACACATGCACACAATGTCACTGGCCAGATACAAGCCCAGAGAGTTCAGTGCCAAGGCTCAGGCATCTGTGCAGAGTTCTGGTGCAGCTCTGAGGGCCCCTCCACAGTTTCCGGCCCCCACCCCGGGTCAGGTCGGGCTCACTGTGCTGCAGCACTCCGGCCGCTTCCCTTCCACTGGCCTTTGCCACAGGGCTTGTCCCAGCCAGTCCTTTTGGGATGCGTGTGACAGTGCAGGGCTTGGGGGCCGTGCTGAAGGAGCCCAGGCTCTGCTGGCCTGGGATGTTTTCTGGCATGTGCCCTGCTTCAACCCCAGGTTATGCTGAGCCACTGAAGGACATCCCACCTGAGAAGTTCAACCACACGGCCATCCCTAAGGGCTACCACTGTCCGTGGCAGGAGTTGGGTGGTTCCAGGCACTTCCACAGCCACCTTGGAAGTCTCACCCCACAGCCTGCCAACTATCGAAATTTCAACAAGTAAGCTGGGGTGGGTGCTTGAGGAGCGATGGGAGTGGGCCGTTGACAACAGCCATCTCTGTGCTTCCCGAAAGACTCGGAAAGCTCATCCAGCTTCTGAGCTCTTACTGAAATGCAATCAAACTCTGGCCTTAGTATGGAACAGGGGCTCAGTACAGTAGGGAACAGCACTGGCTAACAAAATTCATCCCACAGCAGGGAGGCATGGCCAGCTGCAATTTCCCCTTTCTGCACAGAACTTTGTTCATGAATTCTGCTGTCAGCCCCAAGTCACAGAGGAAAGTAGCAGTAAGGCTGGCCCAGTCTGGGTTTGTCCAATTTCTGAGATCAGGTTCCCATTCTCCATCACTCTTTTTTTAAAATTCTGTTTATTTGGGCCATACCCAAGGCCTCTTGGCTCTGAACTCAGGGATCTTAGTAGGGCTCAGGGGACCATATCATTCCCGGCAGGGTTCAGGGTGCCAGGAATTGAATCCAGGTCAGCCACTTGCAAGGCAAGTTCCCTACCCACTGTACTATCTCTCTGTCCTCTCCATCACTCCTTTTAATGGATAGAGTGGTGAACATCTTTTTCTAGGTGGGTGACACACATCTTACCAGCTTGAGACCAGCTCACCCTTTTCCTTACTTTTATCAACAGTCTGGAAAAGAACTAGAAAGTAGCTTTGAAGCTGTTTCAAAAGAGAATTGACTATGAAAGTTTAGCCTGCAGATGTGAGAACTACAAAGGAATAGCTCTTATTGTTTAAAGCAAAGGGTCTCAAAGCAGGTCGACATGCAGACTCCAGAGGCTGGAGTGATAGCACAGTGGGTAGGGTGTTTGCCTTGCACGTGGTCTACCCGGGTTCGAATCCCAGCATCCCATATTGTCCCCTGAGCACCGCCAGGAGTAATTCCTGAGTGCAAAGCCCTGAGCACTGCCGAGTGTGACCCAAAAAGCAAAAAAAAAAAAAAAAAATGCAGACTCCATATCATGCTATGTGACCTTAGGCAAGTGGCATAAGCCCTTGGAGACTCCATTTCCAATCAATAAAATCTATTTATATTATGGTAATTACTTCCTAAGATTGTCTGAATATGGTGTAAAAAAAACATTGGCAAAGTTTCTGGCAGGCAATAGACTCTGAACAAATAGCTGAAATTATGACTGATAACGTTAAAATCATACTAATGTTTCAACATAAAAATGTTGAGATGATGCTTGGAAAAGCTAGCAAGGGAAGAGCTTGGAAGGCCAGTGAGAGTCTCAGGCCTCAGTCAGCTCCTGCTCAGACGTGGACATATCATTAGCAGAGGAGTGAGTATATTACAGATCTGAGTGCAGACAACCTCTACGACACACAAGGGAACTCGAGCTTAAAAGGGGAGAAATAGCAGTGATGGTTGCCAAGTTATGCTCTGAACTCCTCATCAGGTGCCCAACGCTGAGGCCTGCTCAGCTTGGAAACTGCTCCACTGGTTCCCAGGGGTTTTAGCTATGATTGCCACCATGGGGGTGGGCTAAGTAAAAGTGTTTTCCTGGCTGGGATCTAGGCCCCAGCCTGAGTCTTATCTTTTCACCTCTAAGGCAAGCACACTCTTCTTCCCAATACTCATGGGTTGAGGAACAAAATGTAAGAGCAAAGCCCTTTAATCTTAAAATAAAAAAATACAACGTTCAAAGTAAAGACTAAGGCCTGATAGGTGGTTCAATGGGCCATCCATCTTGTGGGGGGCTCCAGTTTGATCCACGGCACCACATGGTCCCCTGAGCACTGCTGGGTGTAAGCCCCCAACTCCTAGCAAGTCACAGACTTATATTAGTAGCACTGTAGCACTGTTCTCTCGTTGTTCATCAATTTGCTCGAGTGGGCCCAGTAACATATCCATTGTGAGGCTTGTTGTTACTGTGTTTGGCATATCAAATACGTCATGGGTATCTTGGAAGGCTTTCCCATGCGGGCGAGATACTCTCGGTAGCTTGCCAGGCTCTCCAAGAGGGGTAGAGGAATTGAACTCCGGGTGGCCAGGTCGGCTGTGTGCGAGGCAAACGCCCTACCTGCTGTGCTATCGCTCCAGCCTTACAGACTTACATTATCATTAAAAAAGAACTATGTTACTTCGAATAAAGGTAGGGTCCCTTTGCTCACCACCCTCTAATCCTAGTTCCCTTCCCATTGATAACGCTGTTACCAGATTGATTTTCATGTCTTTACAAAATTTTCATGAAACAGCTACATACTCTTGTTTAACAGGCAAGTGTACATCTATTTTTGTCACTTATTTGCTTATTTTATTCAACATCATGCTTTTGTACTTACTCTACTTTACCTTTTAATTTCCTTTAGTCACACACTGTAGTATTCTGTCATGTGAACACACTTTTGCTTGTGTATTTATCTGTCATTAATAGACTTAAAGAGTTGTTTCTAGTTTGTCCACGAATGCACTGCTCCCATCTGGTTTCTCCTGCCTTCACCATGAGCTTTCCGTGGCCAGGTGCTATAAGTCCGGCTGCTGGCTAACAGTGCAGTCATTTCCGTTAAAAAGATATACCAACTTATCCTCAAGGTAGCAACAATATTCCCTCCAGCTAGCAGTGTATTAGTGAAACTTAACACATTATTTCTTTTTGCCAATTTTATGGGTCAGCAAGAGCATGTCTCTATATAATAATAAGAATTCCCCCAATTCTCAATGACTGTTCAAATTTCCCTCTCATTCCAATTGGTGGATTTATTGTTCTGGAGGGCGGGGGAGGTGACAAAAGGAAGGAAAAGCTCTATTCCAAATGGATTCCATTGGGGAAGCTAGAGAGTTTTACCTAGGAAAATCCTCTAACTCTAAAAACATTGTTTATTTCTAAACAGTGTGCCAACCCACTACAGGAAGATTTGGAAATGGGTATAGTTGGAGACCTATTAAAGAAAGTACAAGAAACTTGGGGTAGAGAAGGGGAAACTGAGAACCAAAGAGTTGCTATAACTGGTGACCTGCATGCCACTATTTTGCCATCCTTTCCCACGCAGCCCACTTCTCTGCTGCTCTTCTTTCCCTAGGACCCCAGTGCCCTTTGGAGGACCCCTGGTGGGAGACACCTTTTCCAGGGCAGCCCCTCCTTCCATCCTGGAGCTCACCAGTGGCTTGGAATTACTCCGTCGCAGACCCAGCTTCAACAGAATAGCTCAAGGCTGGGTCCGTAACCTACCAGAGTCTGAGGAGCTATAGCTCTGGCTGAATTTTCAATTTCCCAATCTTACGAGTTTGTGGAACATCTGAAGCCAGGACTTCTGGACAGCTCTTCACAGTTTATGATGGTCTTTCATACACACACACACACACACACACACACACACACACATATTTCACTGCAAAGGCAAAGAAACTTGGTGTTTCTGGAATGTGTGTATGCTTCAGAAGCTTCCTCAGGATGTTGTTCTTAGTAAGGATTTCTAGCCTATCCCAGACTAGTGGCCTCAGAATCTCCTGTGCCGAGGGGTCTCTATTCGTAGACAATACTTGTAGGTGATTCCATTGTAGCTTGTTCCTAGTTTGTGACTCCAGGAATTTAAGCTCCCAGAGAGGTTTGCCTCCCAGTTTATACTGATGCTGGTGCCTGACTTCAGTCTATTCTCCCTCAGTGGTGGTGATTCCTCCCTGGCAGTTCACTTACTTTTGAGTAATTCTTAGCATTAGAAAGGATTTCCTTTTACTGAGAATGTTTTTTATGTGGTTAGTCTTTAGTCTTTCTGTCAATATTTACTTTATACCTACTGTTTGCTAGATACTATTCTTGCCCCAAGGAAAGTATGTGCCTAAGCCCATACTATATGCCTGTACTATATAATCCTGTACTGTATATAGTTTAGAAACATAGATAATTTATAAACTATATCATTTATATATATGTGAGAGTGTGTACTTGATACTTATATTACATAGTATATACTACCTAGTATTCCTTACAAAAACTAGATTGTAGAGAGATAGAAATTTTTTTAGGGGGGATTTTGGGTCACACCTTGAGATGCTCAGGTATTACTCCTGGCTCTGCACTCAGGAATCACTCCTAGCAGTGCTTGGGGGACCATGTGGGGTACTAGGGATTGAATCTGGGTTGGCCACATGCAAGGTAAATGCCCTACCTGCTGTACTATTGCTCCAGCCCTGAGAAGACAAATTTTTTTGTTTTTTGCTTTTTGGGTCACACCCAGTGATGCACAGGGGTTATTTCTGGCTCATGCACTCAGGAATTACTCCTGGTGGTGCTCGGAGGACCATATGGGATTCTGGGAATCAAACCCAGGTCGGCCGTGTGCAAGACAAATGCCCTGCCTGCTGTGCTATTGCTCCAGCCCCAAGAGAAGACAAAATTTCAAAGTAGCAATTTATCTTAATTTTTCCTAAAGTGCACTAATTGGCAATTAAAAAACAAGTTCCATAAGGCAGCAGAAAGGGCCCCTAACTCTGGTTATGTGATGGGATTCCAGGAAGTTTCCCAGAGTAGACCTCAGAGTAGGAGTGAGTGTCCCTCAAGAAGAAGGGTGATGGTGGCTGATATACCTGGCCCGTGGACTGATGACTACTGCTTTGACAAGTCTGGAATTGTCAAAGGAGTAGGGAGTTAGGGAGAGGGAGGAGGGCTTTGTTAGAGGAGTTGAAGAGACCCAGAGTAGTGGGAACAACTAGAACAGGACATTAGGAGGGGATTAAATTGTATATGGGTTTTCCCTTGCTCCTCTCCTTTCCCCTTGGAGAGGAGTAAGACTGGAAGTCTGAAAATAATAAGACCTGGACTGGGGAATTGGCCATCAAGGTGGAAAATAGAACACCTTTCTGGTGTCTTTGAGGACAGATGTAAAGTGGGACACCTAAAAGGAACTCTTTTTTTTTTTTTACTCCATCTTATCATCGTAAGCAGGTCCAAGGGTAGATCTTGTCTCCATTGGTTCATTAGGAAAAGTAGAGATAATCAAATGATGATGGTTGGTAATGAAGGTGATGATGATGATGATGATGATGATGATGATGATGATGATGATGATGATAATGGCTGCGTTTTATTGTAAGCTTCAGAGCTTGACTTGGTTCTACACACAATCTATTTCTAATTTTTAGTACACCTCTGAAAGAAGGGTTACAGATATGACAGATGTAAATATCCAGGTTAAGGTGAATATCCTAAGTTACAGATATGAACATTCAGGTTTATCTCATAGGGTAGTGAGTTGCCCAGAGACATAATCAAAATGAGAATCTGTCTGTTTTTGGTGGGAATCACTTCTCACTACAGTGGAAAAGTGGCCAAAGCAGTAATTATGCACACTGGATCACTGGATTTCGGCATCCTACTTAGAGTTTAGAGGTTAAGAATTCAGGCTGGTGGTCAGACTGGTGGGCCTCTGTTTCTCCACCCTGTAAGATCAGGACAAGAATAGAAGAAAGCCCACTTGTTAGAGCTGTGAGCACCATAATGGACACAAACATACTAAGTGTTCAACTATGATTATATTCCCTGCAACAACTGCTCTTGATGGGAAAAGATGTTCTTGTAGACGCTGTCTGAGGTCTGAAGGAAACCCTCTGATCACTCTATATATGACTGCTGTTTGGACTTAAATTCCCTCTTTGGAGAATAGAGAAGGTCAGGATTCTCTCTGCTTCCGACGGTGTGTGGGTTGTGTTTGCATTTGCCTTTTGCTCTGATGTTTCACCATACTTCACACTGTCTCAAGAGGTTAGCAACCTGACAGAATTGCTTGCAGGGGCTGGAGTAGGTAGGGCGTAGGTAGGGCACAGTGGGTAGGGCGTTTGCCTTGCATGTGGCTGACCGGGGTTCGATTCCCAGCATCCCATGTGGTCCCCTGAGCACTGCCAGGAGTAATTCCTGAGTGCAGAGCCAGGAGTAAGCCCTGTGCATCGCCAGGTGTGGCCCCCTCCCCCCCAAAAAAGAATTGCTTGCAGTTGTTTCCTTGCACTTGGGAACTGGCATTTAAAGTCTTGTTTTCAAGAGCCACAGCCCTGCATACACCTAAATAAGGTCTATGAAACACAGAAGAGGACTTGGGTTGGTGCTTCTGTGCTTTGAAGGAATTACAGCTACCCACCAGAAGAGGAGGGTCCAGGAGGGGGTCTGATGTCCTCGTTCCTTTCTCCCCCTGATAACATGAGTTCTGCTGATGTTGTAAAAATGCTTATTTAAAAATTAAAAAATAAAATAAACAAGGAAGCAAACTTTGAAAGTGTTTGTGCATGCTTACACCTGTACCATTCCCACGTTCCTCCTTATGTCCTGCCCTATTCCCAATACCAGAGAAAACTGCTGTCAGCAGTTTGATTTTTCTTTTTTCAAATTTTATTTTATTTTTATAAAGTTGTTCACAATAGTTTATTACATTCAATATCCCAACACCAATAGCACCACCATTACACCTCTTACCATCATTATTTTGAATTTTCCCTACCACTACCGGAGCCTGCCCAATTATCAAGCCCTAAATAATTATTTCATATTGCTTGATATTAATAATCCACTAAAAATGATCAAAAAAGTTTTCTTAGAAGAAAAAGTGCAAAGATTGTTGTATCTCAGCCTGGAGTCATTAAGCCATTGTATAAAAGATTACTAACATGTTTTAGGTTGAACCTTGTGTGCTAATATTTTTTTAAATTTAATTTTATTCTTATAAAGTTGTTTACAATAATTTATCACTATAACTTAATCACTTAATCCCCGTTATTCATCGATTTATTCGAGCGGGTGCCAGTAACGTCTCCATTCATCCAGGTTGCGTGCTAGCGTAGCCCAATGGTATCTGTTCGTTCTAGGAACATGCAGAGCCTCAAACCGATCATTCAGGGTCTTGACGAAGAAGTCTGACCATCTTGTAGGTGGGCGTCCACGTGATCTTTTGATGTCCCGTGGAATCCAATCAGTAATGGCTCTAGTCCAGCGGTTGTCTGTAAACCTCATTACGTGTCCAGCCCATCTGATTTTTGATGTCTTGGCAAATGAGACAGCGTCCCTGATTCTTGAGCATTGACGAAGATCAGAACTTCGGATTCTATCTCTCATTTGAGTGAATCGTGATATTCATTTAATATTTAATTTTAATTATTATTATTAATTATTTAATAAAATTAATTATTAATATTTAATAACATTTAATATTCCAACACCAATCCCACCACCATTACACCTTCCCACCATAATATTTCAAATGTTTCCACCGACCCCCTAATCCTGCCCCCAAAGAAGTACATAAATAATTTATTTTATACTGCTTGTTATGAAAAATCTGCTAAAAATGATCCCAAAAATTTCCTTTAGAGGAAAGTGTGTGAAGATTGCTGTATTTCACCCTGAAGCCCTATTAAGCCCTTGTATATAAGAAATACTAACATGTTGTTAAAAGTTGAGCCTTGTGCGTACACACACACACACACACACACACACAAATCTTTCCAAGATTAGTTGCTTTCTACTTTACACTTCATCAAATGTGGCGTGCTACTTTTGGCATCTTAGTGGTGTAGAGTATGAGATGTCATGCAGCTGTGAATGCAGCCGTACACTCCAGGAATTCTAAAGTTTTAAATATGGTTATACAGATGAGGTTGTTAATTTTTTTTTATCTGGATGGTGATTTTGGGGTGTGCAAGGCACCACTGCTGCATGTTGCTCTCGTGTTGCTCTCTTCCAAGAGATTCATTTGTGAGTCTCTGGATTATGGCCATTAAGGATCTTATATGATGCCAGAGGCAGTTCGTGAGGGTGACTGCCAGGCTACAGGAAACACAGGGAGATGTGGGGAGGCCGCCATTCCTGACTGTGTGAGAATGGAGATTTCAGTCACACAGGTGTTTTTCAGCAGATTCACTCATGGGTGAGGCTTGTCCAAGCCTATGGAGATGGGCCATGAGTGTGGCAGTGATTAAGGTTTTCAGCTTCCAGGGCTCTGTTGGGGCAGGAAGGGGTACTGACCCGTCCCCGCCCACCCCCCAGGTTGCGCTGGGTGGGGTCTGGAGGCATCTCTGTGGCGTGTCGCTCTGTGTTGCTCTTTCAAGAGATCTATTTGTGAGTGTCAATTTTTTTTTATCAAGATCAGTTGCTTCTATTTTACACTTCATCCAATGTAATCTTTCTTTTCTTTTCTTTTTAATTTCTATGAAATGATTCACAAAATTACTGATAGTTACATTTTATGTATACAATAATTAAACACCAA